TTTTTTTTCTGCCTTTTTTGGAATGATCCTAAGGATTGAAGTAGAGTTTTCACAGGGACCTAATATTTCCAGTGTGGCCAGGGAGATGGCTCAGTGGAATAAGCGCTTCCCTGGCAAGCACAAGGGCCTGAGTTCAATCCCCTGTTCTGCCAAAAACAAAAACAAAAACAAAAAATCTTGAGTTCTTGTTTAGTCTTTCTTTATGTACTTTTTTTAAAAAGCATATTGTAAAGAAATTGAAAAAACTAACATTTTTTATAGCCAAGACTGTAGATACATTTCTGCATCAAAATTAAACAGACTTGGAGATTGATTTTTCTCTTTATTTAGTATAAATAAACATGGCTTGTGTTGGGCTCTGCAGATGAACAACAAAGCTGCACTGGAAGAATTTTATCCCAGCCCTTTATGGGGGTATTTGTGGTGAAATGTGATTCCTGGATAACTCTAACGGTGTGAAGGCTTAGCTCTGAAAAATTTTAATTCACTGACCTTAATGATTATGATGATGGCTAAATCTAAAATTTTCTTGGTTTCCACAAAGATTTTAAAGTATACGTAGCACATTCCTAATATAAACATTCCTATCCTAAGCATGAGAACACCTTGTTATCTGACAGAAAATTGACTTTAATAATGCTTTTGAAAAAATGCTTAATTTCTGTCTTCAAAGTTTAAATTGACTCTTTTGTTTTTTAATGGTACCAGGTTCCAAACTCAGGACCTTGCTCTTGCCAGGCAGGCATTTAAGCCATATCTCCACCCCCTAAAGGTGTTTTATTTGTCCTGCTTAACACTAGATGACATGGACTATTTCAGCCACTTAGCTAAATATTTAGCTTTTATTGAAAGTAGTTTGAGGGGTTAGAAGTAAAGAATGTATGTTTATGTATGTGTTGAGGTTTGGTTAAAATTGTAAAGATTTATATTCATATATTTTGCTCCTCATAACTTTAGACATTCCAGTTCTAGTGAACTAGAAACCTCTATCCCTACTCTGTTAGAAAAAAATGATGGTAAATGCCTAATGTTCATTCATTTGGTGTTGTCAGCACTTAAAATTTGATTTTGTGGCATTCCCTTCTTGTGTGTAGTTGAGGCATAAGTGATATTTTAATTTTTTTTAACTGTTAGTTCAGCATAATGAAAGTTATTGATGAGTAATACAAAAAAGACAAGCAAGTGTCTTTTCTCACCTGCTCTAAACTGTTGCATATGAAGGAAATCATTTATACTAAGGCAGCTTTACAGAACATCTTTCTGACACTGAAGCACTATAGTTCAGTTGATTTTTGTGGGTGCTTTAGTGTATAATATGAGGTAATATGAACACCTTGTTATCTGTGACAGAAAAAAAGATAGAAGTACAGGAGCATGCAGTTTTGTTTTTAAAGGTAGAGGGCCCTTTATTAACATCAAGCAATCTCATATAACTCTACCCAATAGTAGTTGTGTTTTTGATATGCATTTTTAAAAACACAGTACAACACTGTGTCATTAATTTTTGTCCTTTATCATATATAGACATTAGTGACTATTTAAAACAACATATTCAGTTTTTTCCCTTTTAGTGAAGAGTGTCCACATACACAGTATGTGATTGAAAAATACACTGAATGTTTGAATTTTTAAAATGTATTTATTACAATAAAAGATGTTTCTATTAATCCCTCTCAGGATATTCCCTCTTCCTCCAAACACATTTACTCCGTCATTCTTGCCCCTTTTTAAAACAGTTTTGGAAATTTTCTTTTGTATCTTTTGTTGCTGTGTTGTGTGCTGTCCTGATAGCCTGAATCAATTGAAATGTTTACCTTTCTTAGACATTTTGACTTCAGGAAAGAACCACAAGCCACATGGTGCCATATCACTGAATAAAGCGCATGAGAACACACTGTATGGTTTTAAGAACCTGCCTTTTGGTTGGACAGTGGGACATTCACTGTAATTTTGAGAGATGGGGAAGAAGACTTCCACAATTGCTTCAGAAAGTGGCAAGGACAATAGGATAAGTGTGTTTGAAGTGGGGGAGAATGATGTATTTTGAGAGAGACTAATGGAAATGTGTTATTTATTTATTTATTTATTTATTTATTTATTTTGCGGAACCGGAGATTGAACTGAGGCCCTTGTGCTTGCCAGGCAAGTGCGTATTCTACTGAGCCATCTCCCCGGCCCGGGAAATGTGTCTTTTATGGTAATGTTTTTTTTGAATGGTAACATTCGCCATATATTTTAATCACATTTTGCATGTCACTATCCATATTTTTCTCATTGTTCCTTGAAAGGCCAAAAAAGGTTCTTAATTAGGATATGTAAAGTGAAATCTTTGGTCATTGACCTACTTAAGTAGCAGCAAAAAGCAGCAAAACACAGCTTCGTTTTTAGCTTGGTGCTTAGTGGTTGACCTTTGAATATGCTTTTATTTTTACTGTATAGATGATTTTAAAATTTTTTTATAATATAGCTGTAAAAATAAGCCCTTATTGTATGCTTCAGTAAAGCATGTAGCTGTTCTTTTCTGTTAAATTTGTGTTACACATATATGAGTTCAGATTACAGATGATAGTTTTAACTTCAGAAGTAAGGTCACATTTTATCCTAAGCATAATTTTGAACACCCTCACCACAAGACAGAGTTGAAGTTGTATATTTTGTTCTACCTGTCTGAATTCCCTGTCATTGGTGGAGTGGAGGAAAGGAGGAGTTGGAATCCTACCTTAAGCTTATCAGACATTTGAAACTTCACGAAACTTCAGTGAAATCCAAATGCTGCCCACCTTTAGTTCACATTTGGGACCAACCTTTCAAAATGATGCATTATTTATGTTTTCCCATCAAGCCTTTAAATATTGTAATCATCAACATGACACAAAATGTGAAGCAAGATTGCTTGAAAATGGCCTCAGGTATTCTCATGAGTTGACTCCACAGTGAGCCATCTGGTGCTGTCTGCACACTCTTTCAGGAGTATCTGCACCTGTGTTTTGCTGACTTTTAGGTAAGTGACTTCTTCGTCACTGCTTCAGGACATCTTGATATCTTGATGCTGGGCAGTGGAATTTAAATTTGTTACCAAATTTAGAATACCTAGTCCCAAACATTCTTTTTGTTCTTTTGCTGATTAGCTTTTGTTCATAAGAAGAACAAAGTACACATTTCAGAATTTGCTTCTTAGAAATTAGAGGGTATGGGGGCTGGGGAGATGGCTCAGTGGAATAAACGCTTCCCTGGCAAGCGCAAGGGACTGAGTTCAATCCCCGGTTCTGAAAAAAAAAGAAAGAAAGAAAAAGAAAAGAAAGAAATTAGGGGATATGAACTAAAAGAATTAGAGAGGGACAGTTACAGTGGTTGAGTTTTGCTTTATTTTACAAAGCAGGATCTGCCATAGTTAAATAGTGATTCCAGTGGACCATGGCTCCCTGTTCTCAGTACTTTTTTTTTTTTTAATTTTACTTATTTGTGTGTGTGTGTGTGTTTGCGTGTGTGTGTGGCCAGCTCAGCCCACCAGGGAGCAGGGCTGGCTGGCATGTGGTGCTGGGGGATTGAACCATGGTCCCTATGCTTTGCTAAGCTTGTTCAAAGTAGGTGCTTTAGACCACTGAGCCATCTCACCAGCCCCGCTGTTCTCAGTATTATAGGCAGTGCATTATAGGGTTATTAAAAGATAAAAAGATGTTTCATCAGCTCCAGAACTAGTCTGTGTACTATGACCTCTCGTTTTCATTTGGATGGCAGAGTATTAACACTTAATAGGAGCATGACCTGATATTTAGTGTGATGTATTATCAGAATTTTGTCATTTCTCAGTTTATCAAGCAATACAAAATTCCAGTGTGGATGGAATGTGCCAAATTACTGATTTTGGATTGACTGCTTGTAATTCTTTTGGCAACTTTATTAGCATTGCCTGGTAAAGTTACCTAGTAGCTTTTCAAATCAATTCTACCCTGGAGAAAAGGAATCTTTGATATACTCTGTGTAGGTTAAAATGTAAAAAAGAGAATATGTGGGCGTGTTCTCTTCTGCATTCAAAAAATCTCTACCACTTGACAGAGAAGAATAGCTTTATCAACTGCTAAAAGTGACTGTTAGTGCATTGCCCAGGAGGAGCAAATCATAGAAGAGGACTTTATTGTACAAAGTGAAAGTAGTATCTGCTCAGAAAAATTGTAGAATTTATATAGAAAATAATACTAAAGACCAAGTATTATCTTATTTCTGTAGATTTACTGGAAGGAAAGAAAAACTGAGAGTATGTGTGTCTTGGTGACAGGGAAATGCCTTTAGTGTTTTTTTTTTTTTTTTTTTTTTAATGTATTTATTTACTACAGGGTTTACAAGGTCTCACTACACAGATTGGGCTTATAGTGATCCTTCCTGTTTTTCAGCCACCCAAACGCTGGGATCATGGGCACGTGCCACCATGACCAGTCCACGCCCAGTCTCTTGCTCCAGGGGTGGGCAGGGTGGTGGTGGTGCTGCAGGCTGGGTGTCGAAACCCCTCCCCTGCATCTACCTAAGCAGGCCACTAAGCTATCTGGCGAGTACCTCCAGCAGTTTTCAGCTCTGAATGAGGGATTTTTAAGCGAAGGGAAGAAAAAAAGTCCTGGTACATTGCAAGAAGGAAAACTTTACATGTGAAAACAATGTGACTTATAGCCAGCTTCATAAACAGAGACCTTAAGCTGGCAAGCAAAGCAGGTAGAGCTCATTAAATGTATATTACTGTGTGGATCCCCCTCTCCCAACCCAAGTTCTCTGTTTCTCACGTTCTTTACAAGAGAATTGGGCTGAGAGCATCATAATAGATGCCTTCCTTTAGCCAAGTCCTTAGCATCATAGTTTCTTTCATTACTTTTTTTAGTTCTTTATTTTATTTTAGCTCAGCAGTACCCACTAAATAATTCTCATTAACAAGCTAACTAATAATCATTGCTGAAAGCCTGCAATTGTAATTATGCAATAGTATTAAATGTTTCTGGTTTTCCTTTTTGCAGAACACAAAGTAATTATAGTGGGACTGGATAATGCAGGGAAAACCACCATTCTTTATCAATTGTAAGTATTGGTGCTTACTTAATAGTTTTTTTATTCTTGAAACCATTTATATAAGATGAAATGCTGTTCCTCTTGTAAGGTGATAGAAAAACATAAACTTTTTTCTCATTTTACCAAACAAAATTTACAAAAGAAGTGAATAGACATGTATGTTTTTTAAGCCTTCACAGATACTCACTGTTTTCTGACTTTGATGGAAATAATTAATAGAAAACTAACATAAAGCACAAATTACAGTGCTGGGTGCGATGATAAAGAGGGTTTCATGTAGTTCTTCCTGCACTGAAATAAACGTAAATAGGTTAATATCTCTAGGAAGCTGTTGTTTCCCTGACTCATAGCTTTGGAATTGTTTAACATAGCCAGACTTGTAATGACAAGTAATGACATTCGAAATAGTGCTTTTCTAGCTTGCAAAAAGAAGAAGTTGGAGACTTTGAGAGAAATACATTACTACTTATCTTTTGTCTGGGAACCTCACCAGAAATACTCACATAATGCCAATGTATGACCTATTTTTCAGGTACTTTGCTAAAAATGTTATTTCCTGATGGTTTATTGTTTTGAAGTCAAATAGCTATGACCACTTTAATTGGTCATTGAATATTTTAATATGACTTAGCCTTTAAGCAGCAAATACAAACATTTCAGAAACTGTCTCATTTTTTACTAAAATCATTTGGCACATAGCTTTAAAAATATATATAAAATTCAAGGTCATCCCTTTTGGGGATGCTGAGGCAAGAGGATTGTTTTAAGTTCAAGGCCAATCTGCACTACATAGTGAGACTCTTGTCTCAAAAAAAATTCAAGAGAATTCTAGGGATGTATTTCAGTGGTGGAGTCCTTGACTATGCATAAGGCCCTGCATTTCACTCAGTACCCCAGTGCCCTCACCCCTGAAAAGGCGGGGGGGAGGACCCAAGAGGAGGTTGTCTCTTCAATTCCAACACTATTGGAATTGTCAGCAAACACATATGAGTTCAGTGAGTCACAATGTGACTCAACCAAATGTTTATGATAGTAAAAGTGGTGTGAACATCAGAACTGTGAAAATATTTATAGTGCCTTTTAAGTGAAATTTTAATTTGCCCATGGCCTTATCTTTGTAAGACTCTAGTATTATTTAATAAGCTTGAATTAAGTTTTAATTAATAAGCTTGAATTAAGTTTTATGGCTAATTCTCTACTTTCTTACCAAACATCCTAACAAAGATGTCCTTCATAGCCAAGTACCCAGTGGTTGCTACGTTGTGATACGGGCATCACAGAGTAGGGCATGGGTTCTCATCTAACTGATAAGCATCACACCACAGTGCTCCCTTCTTCTGTCCATATTATGTGTAGTTCAATCCATTGGCTGGATTAGGAGGATACTGAGTTTGAGGCCAGCCAGGCCTACAAAGTCCAAGGCCAACATGGACTACCTAATGAAACCCTAACTCAGAAAAACTCCTCCAAAAAATCAGTTTCTGAGGGTCGGGGAGATAGCTCAGTAGAATAAGCGCTTGCCCGGCAAGCACAGTGGCCTGAGTTCAATCCCCAGTTCCACCAAAAAAAAAAAAAAGCGGGGGAGGGGGGAGAAAGAGCTGGGAAGTTAGCTTAGTGGAAGAAGTGCTTGCCTAACAATCACAAGGTCCTGAGTTCAATCCCTGGTATCACATACCCCCCCCAAAAAAAAAAAAATTCTACAATTTTGGGGCCGGGGAGATGGCTCAGTAGAATAAGTGCTTGCTTTGCAAACCCAAGGGCCTGAGTTCAATCCCTGGTTCTGCCAAAAAGAAAAAAAAAATCAGTTTCCTAGCTAAGAAGTCTTATCGTTGATAGAAATAAGAAAATTTTATTCATCTTAAAAATACAGAGCTAAAATTTGCTTCAAAAGTTGGGTGTGGTGACACATACCTGAAATCCCAGCACTTGGGAAGGTCAGGCAGAGGGACCATTGTGAGTTCAAGGCCTGCCTGGACTGTGTGCTGAAACCCTGTCTTCAAAACCCCACCAAAAGAAGAAAGTGTTCAAGTTCTCAGTATAGCCAAAAATGTTCTGATGGTGCCTATCTTTCAACAGCTTAATGAATGAAGTGGTTCATACTTCTCCAACTATAGGAAGCAATGTTGAAGAAATAGTTGTGAAAAACACTCATTTTCTTATGTGGGATATTGGAGGACAAGAATCACTGCGGTCATCCTGGAACACATATTACTCAAACACAGAGGTATGCTATGATGACTTCTGAAGTTTTGGAAGTATACGGAGTGCTGTTATTAGTTGAATGCATACTTTTGGCTAGGCTGCATGAGTATATTGCTACAGTAACTATAATATCCTTAAAAATTAGATAAATCTGACACTCTGAGAAATTACATTAGCTTTTCCCAAGATCTCAAAACTTTGTAAGATGGCCTGATTAGAGGAAGTATAAGATATTTAGGTGTAATACAGGCTTTACAAATAGCAATTCAGAATTTTGATTCCTATTTTAATAGAATTAAAATTGTAGACCATCCTCATAGTCTCTGTCACCTTTTTGTTAGTTCAAACCCAGCCTGAGGAATAAATGTGATCTATGTTCTATTTCTGTTTTTATATTTTGATAAACAGATCTTTTTTTTTTTTTGTTTCGGAATCAGGGATTGAACTCAGACCCTTACACTTGCCAGGGAAGCACTTATTCTACTGAGCCATCTCCTCAGCCCCGGGAGACAGATCTTAAGATCATGCAATGTTGAGAGTTTATGTTTGAGAATTCTAGTGTACAATTCCATCCAAGTATTTTTTCGCCGTAGGGAGAAAGAAGTGCACCTAACCAATTACCTCTATGTATTTTTTCTAAAAATGAAACCTTTTAAAAATTGGAGATGAAAGAGGATATAAGGCAAAGATGTTCTGAAGCACAAAGTTGGCTTCTTACACTAAAGACATGTTCTCCTGAATTTGTGTTGTAATGTCATATGTGCCTGTACATTTTCGAGTGCTGTGTGTCAGTAGTAAAACCAGATGACACATGACAGACACTCAGCTCTTGGAGTAGCACTGGGTTATTTTACTTGAGTGAGAGGGTACAGACAGGCAGAAGAGACTGAGAAGCCAACACTTTGGTATGACATTTAAATAGCATCAGTACTTTTTTAAAAGTTCACAGTTAATTCTAGTTCTGAAAATAGCAATTATCTTTCATGATGCATCAAAGTTTATTCTGGATGATTCATGTATACCATACTTGCAACATTTCAAGTGCTAGTTTTTGAAATTGCTCAAACTCTAGAAGACTTAGCCTAGGTTTAGAAAGAGAGTAATTATGGATGTTATTTGCACAAGATGTTCTTTTAATAAACTATTTCAATAAGAGCATCGTAATTACTACAAAGAAAAGATTTTGCTGAATACCAGCATGGAACATAGCATTCATAACCTCAGGTTCCAGGTAGGAACTTAATGTATGTAGTGTTTCACTCATTACTTTTTTCATACTTGTCATCTTGCTTTTTGAAGATTCTTCCTGTTGAGGTGACAGGCAGTAACTATAGTGTGTCTGTTCTAATACAGGGAACTGCAGGGGATAATTCCTGACACTGTCCTCTTCTTTAACTTGGCACCGTCTCAATATTCTGTTCTTTATGATTTTTTTTCTTTTATTTCTTTCTAAACCCTTCTTGATTTATACTGTTTACTCACCCTAATTTTAAAGTCATCTCTGGAACTTGATTCTATCCTTTGGGTCACTTTCCCAATATATAAAACATTTAGCACTATTTAGTCTCATTTTTAAAAGTTTTAAAAGTTTTAACATCTTTGCATGAGATGTTTAATTCTTCATAAGATGCTCTTTTTCAGCAAATCTTTTTACTTACCAAACTTGGCTTTATGTATTTAATTTTTCTGATGTGCATATCCTGGGTTTTTTTTTCTCGTATACCTCCATCAACAGGTTTCTCCAGCCTTTCTCTAATTTCACCTGCATCTTTTTCACATATTAATGCTGATATATACAATTCAGCATATTTATTTATTTTAGTATTTGTACTTGTTTTGTAAAAATGTCTTGTTCATTAGTTTTTAAAAAATGTATTTATCTTTTTCTTTCCAGCAGGCAAACTATCTTATACTTAAGTAATCCATTAGCAATTATTAAATAATAAGAGTACTTTGACGTTTTAGAATGTTATTTAAATTACTGTTTATTTTTAAATGTTAGCTTTTATTATCCATTTTTAAAATGAAATATTATATAGTGGTAGGTAGCACTTTTCTTTAAGAAAAGTAAACTTGGTCAGTTTTTATTTATTGAGGTTATGTTACAATTTTCTTATTAACATAGGATTATATATATCTTTTTTTTTTTTTTGCGGAACTGGGGATTGAACTCAGATCCTTGCGTTTGCCAGTCAAGCGCTTATCCTACTGAGCCATCTCCCCGGCCTGGATTATATATATCTTATATTCCATATTATATAACACCATTGTGAAGACATATCAAATTTTACAGAAAATTTCTCAATATCATTGAATTTCTTAGAATCATTGAATTTTTTTCTTTTTAAATTATCTCCTAGTTCATCATTCTTGTAGTCGACAGCATTGACAGGGAGCGACTAGCAATTACGAAAGAAGAATTATACAGAATGTTGGCTCATGAGGTAAATTTTGAAGGCAAATCTTTTAAAAAGTAATAGAATAAGATATGTATAGTTTGACTTTGCTTTTTTTTAAATAAAAGATTAATGTGTTATGTTAAATGTCTTTTCAAAAGTTCCTTAATGAATAATTTGAAATCATTTAATTCTGTGTATTGGAGAGACACAGAAAGTCAGACAATAAAATGTATTCACTGCCCAGGCAAAGTGTTGCATGCCTATAATCTTAGTTATTTTAGAAGCTTTTACACCCCACCCCCATCCCCACCCCCACCCCCACCCCCACCCCTGGGATTGTTATTCTTTGTTTGTTGTTTTGAGACAAGGTTTCCCTATGTAGGCCAGGCTGGCTTCGAACTCATGGCAATCTTCCTACCTCAGCTTCCTGAGTGCTGGGATTACAGGCGTGTACCACCATGTTCAGTTCATTTTTAGGTTTGAAGCAACACCTTTAGATCTGACTTTTTTTTAACTTCTCTGAGTTATCTCAGAGGTAGGCAGTTTGTAAGTAGTGATGATTTTTGTGTTACGTTTTAATATAAATTATATAGATTAATGATATTCTGTGTTCTTAAAACCTTCCATAAAATTATTTGTCTTTCTGTAAGTTGTACTTTTTTACATTTAGATTTAGCCATGTCAACCTGTACAACTTTAATTCATCTCTTTTAGTGATAGAGTATTCCATAGCAATCAGTTCTATTAATGAATATTTACATTATTTTCAGTGTTTACGTAGCAAGAACAGTGCAGGCTAAGCACGTGGCATAGGCCTGTTATTTTAGATACTCAGGAGTCCAAGAGAATTGTGAAAAACATAACAAGACCCAGTTACTAAAAGAAAGAAAGAAAAGGAAACAATTCTGGGGTGCAGTGAACATTAATCAGTGAGCTGATATTATACAAAGATTAAGTATTGTTCGCTTCCCACTTCTGGCATTCTATTTTAAATTTTGGAGAACTCTGTAGTATTTGGCAGCATAATACCATACTGCACATTGGGCTTAATGATGAGTCAGTAGTCTGGCCCATTGTTAAAATCTTGCCCAACATGCACAGTGCCTTTGGTGTGATCCTTAGTACCACTGAAATGAAATGATTTGAGTTCACTTTTTTCTTTCTTAAATTGACTCCTTTAGCTCCACTTTTAAATACCTGGCTTGTGTTCACCTGCTTTTGTTAGAGTGAATCATTCAAATGTGCTTGAGATTATTTTTATTTCAGTACATTTTCAAAATTAAATGTTAATACCTGGTCACTTTTTTTTAAGTTTTGTTTTTGTTTTTTTTTTAAGTTTGTTCAGGGTCTCATTACGCAGCTCAAACTCATAGTGATCCTCCAGTTTTCAGCCTCCCCAGCGCTGGAATCACAGGCACATGCCACCATGGTCAGACTCGGTCGCCGGCTCAGCATGCTTGGGGACATGGCTGGTGCAGCATGTGGTGCCAGGGATTGAACCCTTGTTCCTGAGCTTGCCTAAGCTGGTGCTTAGTCCTCTGAGCTAGCTCACTGACCCTCTGGTTAGTTTAAAATAGGGGTATTTAATTGAACAGTCCAGCTGAGTATGTTTTATCATCCTGCTTCATTCATTCAGTTTGACTTATGATATTTTACATATAAATACTTGTTGATTGCAGGATTTAAGAAAGGCTGCGGTGCTTATCTTTGCAAACAAACAGGATATGAAGGGGTGCATGACTGCTGCTGAAATCTCTAAATACCTCACTCTTAGTTCAATTAAGGATCATCCATGGCACATTCAGTCCTGCTGTGCTTTAACAGGAGAAGGGTAAGTGTTAGTCTTGAAATTATGGCTTCAGATTTCTTTCCTCTTTAGGCCAACTTATTTTCTTTTCTTGCTCTTACTCTTTTTATTGTTGTTCTAAATTAAAAAAAATATTTTTATATTGTCAGGAGGTTGAAATCATTTTAGTAAGCAAAATTACTGACTATAATTTACATTAAAAATGAAAATATAATGAATAACAAAAAAAGGGAAATAATTTTTAAAGTAAGTTTCTACAGTGCAAATTTTTTTTATTTTTCATGTGTTACTTTAATCATTTGTCAGTTAAGAGAAAACTACCTTATCTGAATTAAAGAAGGTTTAAAAAATTTACACATTTTCTGCAAGGACTTAAACCTACGTTGCCAACTTATCACAACAGTGTATCTCTTATTCTCAGGAATGTTTGGGGAGGCATTTTTTCAGACGAGAAGTGCTTAAGACAAATAGCGTCTTAGTCTTTTCTTCTTTTCCTGAGAATTTGGAAGTGGGTATTAGGCCAAGAAGAAAATGACCTTATGAGTGGGTTACCCAGTTTGTGTCTTGGAACTTTGTTAAATTACCTAACTTGTTAGTTTTTCTCTTAGTGGTGTACAATTTAGTAGCTACATGTACACCTTTGGCTCATGCTTTTAAGTAAGGCTTAAAACTAGTAATGCTTTTTAGTGTTTAATCATAAAGTTCTTAATTTTGAAAATGCTTTTTCTTTTCTTTTTTTTTTTTTTTTTTGGATTAGGTTATGCCAAGGTCTGGAGTGGATGACTTCCCGAATTGGTGTGAGATAACTTTTTTGCTTGAAAGAGACTCTTCTATTTATTCTGTGACATGGACATTTTTCCTAGTATCTTTGGCTGCTGAGGCAGCAGCATGTTTAATTTATAACAACACAAACCTCTATAAGCAACACTTGAATCAAGTGCAGCTGACCTGGAACATAAAAGATTTTTTTCTTAACTTTTTTTTAAAATGCACTAAACTTCAGTTGGATGAACATTATGTATATTTTCGACAACAGAATTCTTCTGACTGCTTATTCTAATTATTCAGTGACTGCCTTGTAAAAATATGTTTGTCATATGTATAATGTTTTCAGAAGCATTGTTCTAACCCTTATGACCAGTTTCTTTCAGTTCTTGACTACAACCCACTCTCTCTCCTAGTTAGTGATGGTCTCACAGAGTAGTAATGGAAAGCCCAATATTTTGAACCTCTCCAACACAAAATATACTCTCTCCATAACTATCTTTTGAACAAAATTGATTATAAAGAAAGAAATCTGCCTGGAAGGTTAATAAGGAAGATTAAAATTAAACATCATAAATACTTGCCATTAAATTTCCCTCATATTATTGCATGTCATGGCATAATTTAAGTTGCTATTAATATGAAAATTAAGTAGGCTGTTTGTCCAAAGGAATTAAGTTCATTTTCTACCTGTAAGCTTTGGTCAAAAACTAATCAAGGTCAAATATTTGAGAACCCAGCTTTGATAGTAGGTATTGCTGGATAATCTGGTATTTTTAAAAAGAATGTCACGTTATTCAAAGCATACATAACTATCAAGTTATTATACCATACCAGAACTAAAAATATGCTTAAAATATATTTTGCTATTAATTTGCAAACAACTTTGTTACACAGCAAAACTTCAGCTATTTTACTTGCAAGAGTTACCACTTCTGCTTTGGGCAGTACATGAAGCAAAAGTGTCAGCACTTTTGAACCAATGCTATATTACTTAAAAAACCATGTGGCTTTTCTTAAATCTTTTTGTGGTTGGAAGCAGTTCTCATTTTTGTGATTATACTTTGCATTCTAAAATCATATAGAAAATTGCTAAATCTAACCTTTTTAGAATATTAGTATGACATTTAAAATTAGTATCTTAACTTACAAATTAAAAAAATAAAATGGAGAAGTCATAATCTATCAAATGCTTACTTATTGGATACTACTAAAAACTTTGAGGCAGTTGTCTAATACGAAAAATAATCTAAACAATACATACCTTAAGTTAAGAAGGAAGACAATACTGTATTTTCAGTGCTATTTATTTCAAGTAAAATTTTGCTGTAATGAAAGGGATATGTATAGAGAATAGTAATTCATTTTATGCAGTATTTGGATCAAGTGACATTTTCATTTTAATATTTTATGTATAAATTGATAGGAATTTGGTCTGTTTTCAGATGTTCTTGGTTTATTATGTGAATTAATTTAGTAGAATTTGACAACATTTTTCTGATTTCCATTTAGTTGTAGCCTACCCTGGAAAGACAAGATGCCAGAAGAAAACTTTCTGGACTTTGGAAAATAGTTTACCTTCATTTTGATTCTTTTTTTTTTTTTTTTTAGTGATTGTATATAAGTTGCCGGCTAAGTTTAACTTTGTTTTAAATATAACAATAATCAAGAATGTAAGAGAAAAGCAGCTATAAATCAATATGAATGCTTTGTGGGGTGTGTGTGTGTGTGTGTGTGTGTGTGTGTGTGTGTGTGTGAAATGGTGGGGGGAGACTTAAGAAAATACCATTTACCTAAAGCACATTTTGCCTGAATTTCTCCTTGGTTTTATTGTTTACCATAAATACTAAGGATAATTCTTGTAAGTTTGTTCTGAGAAAATATATTTTATCCTCCAGTATTTCCTTATAAAATAATTATCTGCCTTCTTGTATCTAATAAGAGTGGCTGGTTCAGTTTAATTCTTATATGATTATTTTTTATATTACCACATCAGCATTATATTGAAAGTGTTTTTAATAGTCAATTGTATTTTGTCAAACAGCTACTAGAATAGACTCAAATATCCTATTTGTTTTAAATACAATTCATTTATTGATTTTTTTTTTTTAAATTCTGTTACTTTTGCATTAGAAGTGATGTGTGTTAGCATTTATTGAGGCTGGAGTTGCCATTGAACTAGACTTTGTGCCAATGATTGGAAAATTCGTCAGATTTTTTAAAAAGTTAAAAGGTTTTCCTCAGATCTTTTCTGTTACAGTCATATGAAAGTTGATTGTCCTTTGCTCCAAGAGATTGTTTGACCCAAGCAAGCATCTAATACAGAGCCATTGATTTTGGCATTTATTGCAAATTAGCCAACTTTATAAGACAAATATCTTATGCAAGTGTAAGTATGTGATTAGTGCCTTCATTCATATTTTGAGATAATTTCTCAATTGTGTACAACACCTATTCTTTAGAGTCAGAAGCTGCTAAGTAGTTCAGGAAGGGAATAATTCGAGTGTTACCCTCTCTTTCAGTTCTACATTTTACCTAGCAAAGTTCCTAATAGGGGAGCTGGGGAGATAGCTCAGTAGAGGGCCTGAGTTCAGTCCCCAGTTCCACCAAAAAAAACCCAAAAAACAAAGTTCCTAATAGGTAGAAGGCAAGCAACCCACCATGTTTCCCTTAAATTACTCTAGATTTCATTTTTAATTCAAAAATGACATTGATTTTTTTTTATTTTTTAATGACATTAAATTTTAACTGAAATATTTTTGACATAACTAAAATGTATAGCTACCATGCCAAGTTCAAATATGGCATTTTTCTTAATTCTAGTCATTTTATGTTCCTCATTTAACCCAGGCATTCTTACTGAAAACATTTTGAGAACTGTTCTAGAATGACTTTTTTTTGGTTTTTTTAGGGAATTTACTGAATATTTTTATTGTTAGTATAATTAATTCCTAAAGATCTGAAATATTAATATGTGTGATCTCTTGAGAACTAAGAATTAAGTTATATTTGCTTTTAGGTTTTTATGTTAGTATGCTTAAAGATATAATTTTATTCTAGATTCTTTAGGGGGAAAGATAATACAAGGTTCATTAATTAAAATAATTTTTAAGTGGCAGTGTTCTGTGTAGCATAGCCATTTTGATTAAGCATAATTTAAGTTTGATTATCAAAACCTTAAAGAGAAAAATCATTGTTTTGTAATGAAAACAGTGTCATAGACAATGGTATTAATAGTTGTCTCTGAAGAGTTACGTAAATATCAGAGAAATTCTTGAGTGGAACAGTACTTTTAAAAACTCTAATGTAGTTCCTTAGGTGACATCATTCTGAATGGTACCCATTAACCTTAAACAATTAAAAGCATGCATCAGAAGAATCTGCTGGTATATGGCTGTAGATTAGAAACTTTATTGACACTCATCTTCAAAGACTACCTTTGAGAGTGTGGCTGTAAGCCCATGGTTTTGGAACCAGTAAAACTTTAAATTAGTTCTAAAAGGGTTTTTTTGTTCTTGTTTTTTTTTTTTTTTTTCTCTCCATTTTGTCTGGGAAAAATCATTTCAAGACAGATACACTGTCTTGTGCCTAATCAAATATTGTTTTGGTTCTCTGAAGAAATAGACTGCATCTTAACTTGCCTATTTATCGATTATCTAGTTGACCTAAGACAAGTATTTTCAATGGGCTGCCTTTTGTTTTTCATAGTGAGGAACTTTAGCCAGTTGGAGCTATACCATGTCTTTTAGCTTTAAAATTCTGAGTCTTTATTACTAATAATTTTTAAAGTCCCACATAAGATGCATATAATACAGAATTCAACTTATTATTTGATTCCCATCTATTATTACTGCATTTAGTATATGAATACACTCAAAGTACCAATTAATAACTAGTATTCATTTTAAAATGAACTAGTAGCTAATGACAGTGCAAAAGAGAAAACAAGCCATATTGTTAAGAAAATATTTAACTGCTTATAAAGCATCAGTAGGTGTTGGAAATAATCTGTTTTAGAAAGTTCACCTTGCTTTTTTCCCTGGATTTACTAGCTGGTTGAAAATGATTAGTTCATTTTCTTCCCTGTAGAAAAATGATACCCCAAGCTCTTGTTCTGTTTGACTTTCCACTATTAAAAGAATAATAATGACCAGGATAATGGTATTTAACTAGTGTCTGTATATACCTGAAACTGCTTCGTATCCCGGGTTTTTTCAGTACTATTTAATCCTTATTCATTTAGGGCTATCTGAAGACTGAAACTCAAAAGTCCAAGTTCCAAAAAAAGTATTGTATGAATTGTATAGGAGGTTGAAGCAAGAGGGTCACAAGATCGAGGCCAGCCTGGGTAATTTATAGTGAGACCCTTTCTAAAAATTAGAAGAGCTGGGGATATGGCTCAATAATACAGTGGTTGTCTGTCATCTATGACACTAATGTTTGATTCTCAGTACTGCACTCACCTTCCAAAATTGTAGGTGGCCAAAGCTAAGCAGAGAAAGATAATGTAAAAAGTAGGTTTGACTACTGTGGTTTAAACATGTTTTTTGTTTGTTTGTTTGTTTTTGGTGCTGGAGATTGAACTCAGGACCTTGTGCTTGCCAGGCAGGCACTCATGCCACTCAGTTATCTCCCTTCCCCCCTTTGTTTTAAACTTAAAGGGGGAAAAATGTGTGTACATTGGCTTTAAAATGTATATGGTTTAGTGAAATGTTTAGAAAATGTTCCTGTGGAGGTTTAGAGGCATACCTAGAAATAAACTCAGAGCATTTGAAATTAAAAACTTGGAGTAGAAATATGTTCATAAAGACACAAGAGAAAGTGTGAATGGAAGAAGAAATTTCTTCTCTCATTTAAGGCACTTAAAATGCTAGTCTTTTATTGTAAGTGGCTTATATTATTTTTATTGTGGCCAAAGAACTGAATGCTGATGAAAGTTTTAGAATTTGAACTATAATCAGATAGAGGCATCTTTTGGCATTTCTTTAAAAACAGTAATTTACATTTTCTTCTGGAAGTAGAGAAGTTTCCTATTCATGGCTTTTGGAATAGAAAATAAAGTTCTAAAAGAATGGTAATGTTTTAACGCACAAACTTTTAAAGTGTTAATTTAAAAATTACCTCACTGTCTAATCCACAAGGTGCTTTGTTCAAGTTTGTGGGATGTTGCACTGTCCCATAAATATTGTCCTCACACAAGCTGTGTATGAAATACACATACTTTACAACTAAGGAATGACATTCCTTGGGAATTTTGTTTTCTTGATTATTTACCACCAGCAGGGCTAACATGACTTGTCAGATTTGCATAGTTTTCAGTAAAGCACAGAGGTGCTTAGTCAATAATTAATTACATAAAATAGAGGGAAGGAAAGGATTCTAAATAAGTTTGATTAGATTATGCTGTTGCATATATTTATATCAGTATTGGTAAGATAGGGAATGGCTATCACTTGATCTCACTTGCATAAGAATTATTTGCATGTATTGGCCCTAGTCATAAGAGACTATACTCTTTAACCTTACATTCTTCCCTCAGGAATTTCAGGGACTTTGAAGCACCTATTTTATTCTCTTGGAGTAAACTTTCAGTATAGTTATGAAAACTTTTAATTTTGAATTTTAAAAAGTTTAGCTGGTGTTTCATTAAAAGTGCTCAGTAAATGATTGTTATGATTTTTTCAGTTATGGAACAATTATAAATTTTATCATCTGTTCTGTGGAACACAGTTGTAAACCTCAAAGCAGCTGCAGCCTTGTCCTTGGATTTATTCTAATCAGAGTGTTGTGGTTGTGATCCTATGTTGCCCTTTTATTGTAAACTGGGGGTTTAGAGCACATAGAGGAAGCAGCAGGCCCTGTACTGAAAATACTTCTTGCCTTTGAATGTTAAACTACTTGAAAGTGTTTCTTTTTAGATCTAAGCTCATTTAAAGATTGAAATAGAAATGTGTATCTATCAGGCTTCAGGTTAACAGTACCTAAGCAAATCAGCTTGGTCAAAATAGACGATGGGATTAAGAAGGCCAAAACAATGAATTAGATCTCTCTGCCCCTTCCCTTCCTCCAGTATTGTACAGAGAAAAGAAAATGTCCTTGTTGCGATGAGCTGCTTCTGAATCCTAACCAACTGAAATGTGTGCCATTGGCCCAGTGTGTAAGCATTAACAAAGAAATTTTAAAAGCAAATTCTTGGTGCATTCACATCACTTCTTGCAAATGATTTAAAGCATGTTCTTCTAATGGTGGGCTTGTTTAAATGGCATTTTAAAAATTTTAATACTTCATTACTATTGTGAAATGCTTTAGTATGTTATATTTAGGTTGCTGGTATTCATGATTTTTTATTTCTGTAATTATGTTATAATGCGTTGCTTGCATGCCTACTTACCCAACAAAAAAAAGTGCTGTTTGCTCTGGAATGTTCATCTTGTAGACAGGATTTGGCTCGTTTGCAATCATGGTGCAATATAGTGTAACATTTGTTTTAAGTCAACAATTTTATTTTTGTCATAATAAATAATTTTCCAATATGAAGTGAACCCAGCGTTTTCTTTTCAATGTAAATAGTATTTTAAGTCTTTTTGTAGGGAGTGATAGAAACTCCCATTTAAGCAATCAGAGAGGGGAATTTTATGGTCATACTGGTATGTTAGGTGGCCATGGAACCCAAGATCAGAACTACAGGTAGATTTCCAGACGGTTTGGAGTACTGAGGAGAAATCACACATGGCCCTCAGTCTTTCACTAGATTGGATTTCTGTGTTTCCAAGTGCACATGTGAGATCATGGGCCAGTCTAAACTCTTGTGGAGGGGGCTGCTGAAGCTAGAAATTGGTTGTATGTGTGGGGGCAAGGCAGAGCCTGATGAGCTCCTCCAGCCGCTTAAATGAGCTGTTCCAGCTTGCAGATGAGTTGCTAGGCAGAGAGGTTGAAATTGACGCCAACCTCCTGAGAGTGTAAATAAAATAGCTACAGTGGTTGAGCAGTTCCTTTTCCTGGCATTTGGAGAGAGGGCTGCACCTGACCTCACCTTTTGTCTCTTATCTTTATTTCTTAGTCCTCTCACGTTATTGCCAAGAACATTGAGGGCTGTGCAGGATGCAGCACCTCCTTTATTACAATAGCTCTCTTTGTACAAGGGAGAAGTCAGATCGTTGTTAGGTTGTTATGTATAATTGTTTATTGCCCAGGAAAATAGTGGGGGTGAACCTATAACAAATGTGCCACAGCCGACTGTTGGTTATTATTGAAAGCTCTAAAAGGGTCACCATCATTGGCATAGATTGAGTTAGTTACATGCTATGATCTGAACAAGTGGAAGGTACATTTAGGCTGTATCATTCATCTACATATTTTCATTTTAATTGGTCTTAGAAAAACATGTAATCTAATGAGGATGACAATTCATTATTTTTTTAAAAATTTTTTTTTTATTTTTTATTTATGAGAGAGAGAGAGAGAGAGAGAGAGAGAGAGAGAGAGAGAGAGAGGTGTGTGTGTGTGTGTGTGTGTGGCCAGCTCAGCCCACCAGGGGGCGGGGCTGGCTGGCATGTGGTGCTGGGGGATTGAACTGCGGTCCCTGATGCTTTGCTAAGCTTGTTCTAAGTAGGTGCTTTAGACCACTGAGCCATCTCTCCAGCCCCGACAATTCATTATTTATATTCATCTAAATAATGAATTTGATTTTTAATATTTAAAATTTT